GCTCACACCGCATGACTCAGAGAAGGTGATTCTGCAGGACAGGAGGGTGCTGGACACTCACAAGCACTTGACCTGGGCGAGAGCCTCCTGGCGCGAGAGCTGTACTTTGCGCAGGTCCTCACGGCGCACGCTGTGGTACTTCCTGCGCAGCAGCTCCCGCTCCGAGGGCCGGACGCGGCACGTCTCCTGCAGGTAGCCCAGCACGGCCGGCAGCAGGACGAGCAGGGCCAGCACTGAGTACCAGGCGGCTGGGAGGAGTAGCACAGCATCAGCTGGCAGGGCAGCGGGCCGGAGCCCAGCACTGCCGCACACACACGCACACGCACGCACCTTGGTCGAGGGTGAGAAGGAGGAAGTTGAGGCCGAGGCAGACGAGCAGAGAGCACAAGGGCCGCTGCCACCTGTGGGGACAGAACACGGTGAGGTGCGGGAGCCGCGGCCCCAACCCCAGTCCCGGCCCGCACCTACCGGAGGAGGGAGCGCACACCGTCAGCCGCATCCCGCAGCGGCTCCAGGTACAGCTCCAGCCGCCGGTAGCTCCGCACCAGGTCCAGCAGATCGAAGGCGGCCGCGGCCTTGGGAGGCGACGGCGGCTCCGACGAAGCCTCACCGGCCCCCGTTGCCGTTGCAGCCCCTACAGTTGCCGCCGCTGCCACCTCAGGGCCGCCGGCCGCCCCGTCCCGTTCTGCCGCCTGCATACCGGGCCCCCGAGGACCCGCACCGCACCCCACTTCCAGGAAGCGGCCAGGTGCGCCGTGACGTCACCCGGCGGCGCGGCACGCAGCCAATAGGAAGAGCCGGGGTGGGAGGGGAGGACGGAAGCCCCGCCCAAGTGCTGGGAAAAGGGCGGAAGTGGCGGCGGCCCGGTAGTGGCCGTAAAGGTCTGTGCTGGGCCTTGCTGGTGGAGCGCAGTGCGGGGCTGTGCGCTGAGCTGCGTCTGATTCGACTCTGGCCCCGCGCCGAGGCCGAGCTCAGCTCGGAGGGCGCTGGAAGAGGCCGGGTTCATCTCTCACTCCCAGCCTTGGCTGCATGGAGCCATGCTGCGGAGCAGCACGTGTTCCTGCTTCCACCTCACTTGTGTCACAAGGCAGAGAGCCGTGTCTGATGCTGGGCCGCAAAGCACCCAGCCCTGGGAGGTGTCAGGTCCCCGGCCCTCCCAAGTCCTGGCAGTGTCCAGCCTACGAAGGGACCTTTTCAGCCCAGGAGAAACAAAGCCTATAGGAATGCAGCTCTGTGCGGTTCTCATTGTGTTCTCCTGCCTGCAGGAGGAGCCCACATCCATATCCTTACCTCTAAACTGCAGAGGTATGGATTTGAAGACTGGACTGTTCTGTGGTCTGGGGATTGGTTGTACGATTGCAGCTGGGGAATTGTTGCTAGTGCTTCTATGTCCAGGGAGAGACTGGTGATGTGGGGCTCCCCAGGGGTCCATCTTGGGACTGGTACGCTTTAGCATCTTTATCAATGACACAGACAGTGGGATTTAATGTAACCTCAGCAAGTTTGCTGATGACACTAAGATGCATGGTGCAGCTGATACAACAAAAGAAGTAGGGATACCATCCAGAAAAATCTGGACAGGCTTGTTCCCCCAGGAACCTAATGAGGTTCGAAAAGGCTGGGTGTGAAGGGCTGTGATTGGGTCACAGCAATCCCAGATATGTATACAGACTGGAAGAAGAAGAACTTGAGAGCAGTCCTGCTGAGAATGACTGAGGGGTCTGGACAAATGAAAAGCTGGACATGAGTCAGCAGCGTGCACTTGCAGCCTGGAAGGCCAACAGTATCCTGGGCAGCAACAACAGAGGGGTGACAGCAGGGGGAGGGAAGAGTTTGTCCCTCTCTGATCTGCCCTCATGAGGCCCCATCTGGGGTACTGTTTCCAGGCCTGGGAACCTCAACACAAGAAAGATGTGGAGCTGATGAAGTTGGTCCAAAGGAGGGCCATGAAGATTATCAGAAGGCTGGAGCACCTCTCCTATGGGAACAGGTGGAAGGAGCTGGGCTTGTTCAGCCTGGAGAAGGAAAGGTTTCTAGGAGACTGCATTGCAGCATTCTGGTACTTAAAAGAAATTTATAATCAAGAGGGAGACAGACATTTTTTACAGTCTGATAGCGACAGGACAAGGAGGAATGATTTTAAACTAAAAGGGGAAGTTTAGGTTAGACGTTAAGAGACACAGGCACAAGTTGCCTGAGAAGCTGTGGGTGCCACATCCCTGGGGTCTTTCACGGCCAGCCAGCCAGCTTTTGGCAGAGGAGTGGAATTGGGTGGGCTTTAAGGTCCCTTCCAATCCAATCATTCTGTGATTCTATGATGCACAAGCACCAAGTTCTGCCCCATCCCTGGAGCGAGTGGCAGGGCTGGGGCAGTCCATCCCCAGGGGCAGGGGCTTGAGCCCCTCTTCCAGAGACCAGTGGCTCAGCGCCAGGAGTCCACCCATAGCTGCAGAATACACTGAGCCTCTGCAACCACTGCTTCAGGAGGGGTAACCCCAAGGCTGCAGAGCCGAGGGTAAGCTTGGTTCATCTCCTGTTCCCTGAAGGTCCCAATCCTGCTACAAAACCCCAGACACCAAGCGAGCGTCAGTGTTGCTTTATTTGGAATGTGAATCCAAAGGCACCAGAGAAGGGGCTGCAGTGGGACGGCGGCAGGTACAACAGGCAGTGTGGGGTTGTGGGGCAAGGCACTTTTGGCAGCACTAGTCTCACTGCGTGCAGGCAGCCTGGGCCTCAGGGCTGCACCAGAGCAGGCAGGGGCCAGCAGTGTCTGGGACCAGCCCTGACACAGAGTAGGGACAGCACATCCTGCCAGGGGGTGGCCCAGAGGCTGGCAGAGTGCAGGAGCACACAGGTATCTGCTGAGACAACCCTTGGTGATGGAAGCTGTGATCTAGTGCCAAACCAGTCCCTTCATGCCATTGCTGCTGCTACCCCCACAGAAAGGCACCAGGTGACAGATGTGGGGGCCACAGTCCTCCAAACTGAGCCTACACAGGGGCTGGGGCAGTCCCTTTCTGCTCTGAAAGCAATGGGAGAATGTGTCCTCAAGCAGGATGAGGATAGCTGGTGGCCAAGGCAGCTCGGCATGGTGCTCCTCCAACATTTCCCAGTCTCTGGCTGCCCAATGCTTCCACTGACCCCTCACAGCCTCAGCCACCTGTGGGGTTGGTCCATGCCTCACTACCGGAGCCTCCCTCTTGCAGACAGTCTATGTCCTACAAGGGCACTGCTGCAATCACCCTTCCATTATCAGTCTGCGGGCAGCACAGTGATGGAGGTGGAGATATGTAGTCGCACAACAAAGAGAGTTTTCTAGGATGACAATCAAGTGCTGTGGAGCCAGGCAGGGCGAGCTGTGCCTGTTCTGTCTGGAGTGGACAGGCCTCGGGTAGGCTTAGGGGTCTCTGTGGTGGGATGGGAGCCCCGCTCCTAGTGCAGAACCAGCCAGACGATGCGGCAGCAGCACCGAGTTCCAGGCTGGGATGACAAAAACACCTTTCTCACCCCAGAGCAGCACAAACCCCAAGGCTGGAGGAATTTGTTGCCCCGCCTTGACCACAGAGGCAGCTTGCAGCCCCCTCCCTGCCACAAGCTCCAACGGTAGTGGGGGCTTTGCTGGGTTCAACTCCAAAGTGGGTTGGGGCATTTGGCACTGGGGCAACAGCTGGCGAGGCTGTGCCCAGGGTGGGTAAGGGCTGTGCCCACAGGGTTCCGGGAAGACACCGGACATGGAGGAGGGGCCCCAGCTGGGGAAGCTGAGAGTACAGCAGAGCCTCCATTAGGCAATGCGGAGGCCGCAAGGCTGCCAGCAGGGTAAGGGCTGGGCCCAGCTTTACTCCACTCCTCCAGCACAGCATTCATCTCCCCAGGGACAGAGTTGGCACCCACCTGAGCACACCCAAGGCAGGAGTCAGGCAGGGCCCCTCGGGGCTCCCAGAAGTTGTGGTCCACTTGGGCGCTCCCTGCTTGGGTCCTTCGATTTGCTTATGTCCGTCTGTCATTCTGTGCAGGGTGCAAAGGAGCTGGTGCAGCAATCAGTGCCCACTGTCCTGGCAGAAGGTCTCCATCCGTCTGTCCATCCATCTGTGCAGGGGGCAGTGGAGGAAGCGCAATGCAGCAGCCGGGAGGGGACAGAGCAGCAGGGTCACCACGTCCTAAAGCAGGGCCGCGGTCCGTCCATGTGCAGGAAGCAGGGCAGCCAAGGAGCTCAGACGATGTCACGTTGGTCCCGGCAGCGCCGTGCCAGGCAGTAGAGCCCGGAGAAGAGGTACAGGCAGGCAGCCACGGCTCCGCAGACAGCAGCTCCCAGATAGGCTCCGTAGAGACAGCGTTGGCTGTAGCCCGGCAGATTGCAGTAGCTCTTTTGCCCAGCTTTGTGGCCCATGATGCCAGCGGCGGCCGTGCACAGCCCGACACCCAGCAGTAGGTCGTGCACCAGGTTGGCCAGCAGCCAGCGGGAGCCCAGCCAGGGCACGAGCTCCCAGCGCCCCAGCGCGCTCAGCCCGAAGAGGCCCAGCGTGAGCAGCCAGACGAGGACGGCGGCGAAGAGGGCGAAGTGGGCCGCTCCTTCGTACCAGTGGGCCGCCACGGTGAGCCAGAAGGCGGCGCCCACCGCCAGCTGCCCCAGGCGGAGCAGCCCCAGCGGGCTCCGCAGGAAGGCGCGGTGCAGCCCGAGCGAACCGCGGGGCGGTGGTCCCGGGGGCGGCGGCGGCACGGCCGGGGGAACCGTGCGGGCCATGGCGGGGCGCTGCGTGCTGCGGGGCGGGAGGGACTCGGCGCCCCGGCAGCACTTACTGAGGGCGGCTGGCCGCTGCCCAACATCTGGCGTCGAGCGGTCCTCCCCGTGCGGGGCCTCTCTCCTCCCCCGCCCCGCCTCCCGCCGGCCCACTGCGCGCGCGGGGCCCCGCGGCCGCCCCCCGCCGCCGCCTCCTCTCCCAGCCGCCGCCGCCGACTGCCGCGTCGCGGGGCCAGGGAGCTCGGCGGGACGTCACGGCGGAGAACGAAGGAGCGCGCCGTCGGGGAGCGCGCGCCGGGGTTCCCTCGTGACGTCACGCGGGGTTTCCCTTCGGGGTGACGCGCGCTGGCCACGCCCGGGGGCGGAGCCGCGCCCAGCCGTCCCTCCCCGCCTTATTGACGTCACTGGCGCCACGTGGCCCACCATTTCGAAAGGCGGTGCGGCCACGCCCCCTCCCGACGGCGATTGGTCCGTACGGAGAAAAGTGGGCGCGGATTGGCGGCGCCGCGCGGGGCGGGGCGGATCCGAAGAGTGAATGGACGGGGCGCGGAGCACGGGGCGGCGGCGGGACCTCCGGTCGGCGGCGCGGAGCGGCCCCGGGCGCGGCAGCGGGAGCGCGGCAGATACGCGGTGGCCGCCCCCAGGTCAGTGCGCGGGGCTGGCGGACGGGAGGCGGCGGCTGAAAGCGGGTCGCGGCGGGGACGGCGCACCGGACACCGGCGGGCGCCGACCTGAGCCGGGCCCTCCCGCATTCCTGGGCGCGCCGCTGGCGGCCCGCCTGCGCCGCTGCGGCCCTGTCCCGGGCGGGCTGAACCGGACCCGACGCGGCCCCACGCCGTCCCTCCGCAGCGGCCGGGCCATGGGAACGCCGGCCTCGGTAGCGAGCGATCCCCCGGGACGAGCGGCGCCCGCCGCCCGCGGCCGCAAGCGGGCCTCGGCCAACATTTTCCAGGGCGTGGGGCTGCCGGAGCTGCGCAGCCTGTTCCAGAGCGGCGGGGCCGAGAGGCCCGAGGAGCGCGCTCGTCTCGTCTGGCGCTACGCAGGGCAGCGCCGCATGGCGCGGGCGCTGCGACAGCTCAGGCGGCGGAAAGCGGCACGGCGCGGCGTTGAGACGACGGCTTTACGGCGCTTCGGCCGCCTCCGGTAGGTGCGGACCGGGTCGGCGAGGGGACCGCGGCCGGGACGCGCCCTACTCACAACCGCCTGTTTCCGCAGGATCACCGATAAGGAGCCCGAGGGAGATTGCAGGGACGGGGCGGCCTCGGCACCCCTGCAGCATCACTGAGTGCGCAGCAGGCCTGCCATACAGACCGGGCACACCGAGGACACTAAGTGTACAGGACATGAGTGTACTGGTTAATAAAAGGTGGACCCGCAGTGGCTGGGTGAGGCTCCGTGGCTGTGACAGCGGTCCCAGTTGCTGCAATGGACTCAGCACCAGCTGAACAGCCCCAACCCTCCTCTAGAATTCTGCTGAGACAATAAGGAGGCCAGGTGAACTGCAGCTCTGTTTTTCAGACAGTTGCATGGTTTAAATACATTACATACATTTCTACAGTGCATTAGAACAGTACATTTGGGGTCAGTCAGAGATGTAGCCAGGTCTGGGAGCTGAGGTCTCACTTCTACACCCCTGTGCTTTCAGCACCCTCAGGACAGCCACTGCAGAGCCCCTTGTGCAAGTAGGAGATGAGTAAGCTGCCCTCCCCTCACAGCCCCAAGCAGCACAGTCCCAGCTTTCACTTCCCTCCCAACCCCCAGGGCTGGGCAAACAAGACAATGAGACTGAACCCCAGCTTTCCCCCCCACAGGGAAAGTCACAGCTCAAGGCAAGCAGATGCAGGCAGCAGCCCTGGTACCATTTTATACAAGACAGCTCAGCAGCTTTGGGGGAGAGGGAGCACTAACTACCTCACCCACTCACATCAGGCCCACAAGGTTAGCAGCACTGGGGCAGCCAGGAGCTTGCGCCAGCCCTCGTGTGCTTCCAGTACACCAGTTCTCGCATGACTCTCACCAGCAGGAAGAGCTCCTCCCACCATTCCCTGTCCCCAGCAGCCCCCTTTCCCATAAGAAAGGACCCCAGACACACACGCAAAGCTGGAGCTGTGCTGGCTGGCCCAATGCTGGCTGCACAGCAGCCAGAAACCTTACTGAGCACAGGGGCAAAAGCCAAGCAAGAGCAGCTGCAGTGACCTGCAAGATGGATGGACCATAGGAATGGAGGGCCAGAGGCCACTTGTACCTCCAACCCTCTCTACAGCACCTCCGAGAGCCACCTCCTCCAAACCAGGATAAGGCAGCACCTCTTCCTTTAGTGTCAAACTGCATTCAAGCCTGCCCTAGGGAGCAGGCAAGAGTAGAGTTCTCCTTACATTCCCTCCTCAAGCCCCCAGCCAGAGAACAGCCGTTCATTATGGTCCCCACTGCACCAGCAGGCAGCAGGAACTCCCCCTGAGGAAAGCAGCTTGCACAGGGTTGGGGCAGAAGAAAGAAAGTGAGGAGGAGTATAGCATGCCTTTGGGGAAGCGGAAGGCAGAACCACCACCCTCCAGCCCTTCCCAGCCCTGGGGCCAGCAGCGGGGAAGAGGAAGGCTGGCAGCTGGTGCAAAGAGCTGGACGGATCCTGGCCTGGGGAGCCTGGTCAGGTGTGCTCAGAACCGCATGCAGGCCGAGGAAGGGAGGCACAGGCAGGGTCCCAACTGCTTCCCATGCCTCCTGCTGAGCTCTTTCCTCGGCAGGGCTGTACGCACACCACAGAGCTCCAAGGGAGCTGGAGAGGGACAATGCCCAACCCACCTGGCTTCCTCCACTCCAGCTGCAGGCTCCTCCAGCCACAACCTGCTCACTTTACCCAGAGCATCAAATCCCAGCCGCTGGAGCAGCTCAGCTCCTCTCGCAGTGCCAGTCCAAGACAGCCAAGGCCTGCCTGCAGCTCCCACAGCTACCACCAGGTGAAGAAAGGCTTCCGGCTCTGGAAGCTCTGCGTGTAGGACTCGCTGGCAGTGCGCTGGTGGGAACGAGCCGTTTCTACAATCACAGGTGGCATCTGAACCAGGTGCAGGGGGCTCTTCCCATCTTTCAGTGCCTGTGTCAGGTTCAGTATCTGTACAACACAGAGCAAAGCTTGAGCTATCCCAGTGGAGGAAGAGAGCTGGCATCCCAGCACCGTTCCCTGACAGCCAGACAAAACAAGGCTCTGTCACCTCATTCATTTGCCTTACCTGGCCTCTCATGACAGCAATCTGCTTGTGAAACTGTCCCCTGTCAAAGCCAGGGTCCTTCTGCAAGAGAGAGCAAACAATGCATTGGTATCTACTCTCTGACCCACGCTATTCAAGAGATGCTTGTTTTCCAAGCAAGCCTCTCTCCTCTTGTCCCATGAGATTCCCGCTTCTCCCCAAACTGTATCTTTAGCTCCTGGTAGAGGAATAGTCCTTCTATGTTTCAGCTCAGAAACACCACGAGTAGCCCATCTTTCTATCCACATAGCTTTGACAAAGAAGCCCCAAGACCACCCTGTTTTTCTTCTTCCCAAGCCACCCTCAGCCCCACCCTAGTTCACCTTGAAGAGCTCATACAGATCTTCCTCCAGATCTTTGACAAAGTTGGGGTCCGAGATCTTGGGAAGAATTAGGTCTTTGATCTCTTGTGAAAAGGGGATTTTGGCCTGTGGTAACCATGCCCAGTAGAAGGGATCTGCAGGAGGAAGCACGAAATATTAGAGCTAGGGAAGGGAAAGATGCCACATGGCCTTGGGTGCAGCATACACTTCCTACAGCCACTGAGGCAGAGCTGTCCAAGCAGCTAGAAGGTTTTTGCAGAGGGGCAGCCCTAGCTACTGCCTCTTCTAGCCCTCCAGGAACACGCCCCAGGACAGACAGCACAGAGCTGCTCAGCACTGCAGAGTACCTCAACACAGCGTAAGGGACTCACATGCTCTCCAGGAGTCCGGATGCTTCAAAGGAAAGGCCAAACCATTATCTATAGCAGCAAGCTTGATGATGGGCTCTTTCACAACCACCCAGTCACTGTCCTGGAAGGAAGTGGAGCACTAGTCACAAGGGAGCCTTCCCCAACAGAAGCAGTCTGTTTGCCACTCCCAGCAAACAAGATCAGGCTCAAAAACCCAAGACAACTGGGAAATCCCAGCCTGCCAGCCAGCTTGTAGAAGCAGACAAACCCATGAAGCCCCTGCCCACGAGCTGCTCACCCGTACACCTGCGCTGTCCAGGGGACAGTCATATTTGATGAGCCAGTTGTCGTTGCCCCGATCTGCAAGGAAAGAAAAACAGCTGTATCAGCGTGAGGGCCTGTGCTGGGTAGGATTACTTCTCTGACATAGTAGCAATTCAAGTTACACACACTTCAAGGCCTCAGCTCTACCCCAGAGCCCTCAAGCTTGCTGCAGGCCTAGGAAGTCATATAAATCCCCACATATCTAGGTCTGGAAACTAAAGAGATCCACGTAGCCCCAGCTCTCAAGAGAGAAGTCAGCCTGCAAGCTTTGGAGTCCAACCCAAACACATTTCAAGCTGGAACAGACTTGGAAACTCAACCTGAGATAGGATGCTGTGGCACAACCAGAGGCTGGATCTCTCAGCATTCCTGGATCTTTGCACCCGGCAAACATTCCCCATTGCAACTGGATGGATCCCAGGCTAGTTCCTAGTCCCCAGGTCAGTAGTGACAGCAGCTACACTCCACCCAGAGACAGTGTCATCTGTCAACCACGCATTGTTGATAGGAGTTTTGGGTTCCAGGAAGAGAAGCCAAATCTCTGCCTGCTCCCTACCTGGCGAAATACAAAGGAGCAGGCAGCCAGCCCTACCTGTGTTCCTGATGATGTAGTCCAGCACCACCAGCCGCTCAAACTGCAGCAGAAGCTGCCGGTTGGTGTTCTCAGGGAGTGGCTCAGCCTCAAAGCGCCGCAGCCAGTAGTCAGCGTCCTTATAACCTTCCACAAATAGCTGGAAGGAGCCCACCTGAGGCAAGGAGAGACTGTGTTATGGAGGACCACAGAGGACAGAGGAGCAGTGACAGGCACGCGGGGCCTGGCAGCCCTACCTTGGGAGGCAGGCCAATGCGGTTGAAGCGCTGACCCACTTTCGGGACCTTCTCCAGGGCTAGCCTCTTTCCTCGGGACTTCACTCTGTCAATGGCACTGTAGTTAAAGGTCTCACTGGCCAGATACACCACCTGGGGTACAGGAGTACAGAAGTCAGCAAGTGTATCTGTCAGCTGTCACAGTTCTTTGTTTTATCAGTAGGGCATAGATCTCCCACAGCTCTGCTCTGTACGAGGATCCCCATGGCATGGGCAGGAGCGTGTGGAAGCCTCCTCAGCACTCCTCACCCTCAGGTGACTGTGCCTCCTCACCTTTGTGCGGGGAACAATGTTGAGTTCCAGTTTCTGGTCCACCAGGCTGGCACCTGCCTCTGATAGGTAGCCCTGGTTCAGAACAAGGCAGTCTCTCCCAAAGCAGCACGGGCAGCACAACTTCTGCAGCCACTTGGTCCACTTGGGGTTCAGATGCCCGTACGGCTCCTCATTCTTGGGTTTGAAGACACCAATAATTTTCTGTGAGCAAGAGGAAAGCTGATACTCAGTGCTTGGCAGAGCCAGGGCACTCACCCCTGAGCCAGCCTGCGGCTCTGCCATAACAGCACAGTCTCAACCAAGTTCACCCTCCCACAGCACCCAACTCTGCTGTCTTTCCCTGCTTGCTTTCTGCCAATGACCGCCCCCAGATCTAAGAGATATCTCCTTGGGTGGGAAAGAGTCTGGGGACAGCTGTTGCCACTCACTGCAAGGTCCAGAGCAAGTGAAGACAAAATGACACCCCTCGAGATTCTCCTCTGCCAAGAGATCTGCAACCTGAGTTATGGTAGGTACTCTTCTCTCATCCTAGGTTTTCTTCAGGCACCTCCCTCTCTGGTCCCTGCACAACTCCTGTATCCCAAGACCTTTGTACTCATTCACAACTTTACACGTACCATAGGAGAGTGCTGATGACACTGTCCCTGGTAAATATTCTAGCCTTATCCCATCGACTTTTGGATGGTGGGGGGAGAGCTACTGCTTGTGGCTACTCATTTCCTCCATGCGAAAGAGCAGAAGGGGATAAAGATTCCTATCTTGACTCCAAAATTCATCAATTGGACCTGATCCCAAATGGACCGGAGAAAATGGGGCCTAAACAGCAAGGAAGGCTGAAGGACTTCAGAGGAAACTAAAACTCTGTGTTGTGAGGCCTGAAGAGCGATGCTGGGGGGGGAGGGGAGATGTGCTTAAGGACCATTTACTAGGATCCACACTGTCTGCTTTGTCAAACTACACAGCTGAGACAAAGGCCCAGGGCAGGAGTGAGGCCAACT